CCGCATCGTCATCTACCCCAAGACCCTCCCCACTTGCCAAACATTTCCAAAATGCAATCCGTCCTACTACCCGACCACCGCAATTGGCTTTATGCGGCTACATAACACATAATATGTATAATATGTTAGACATAGACACTACGTGTGCAGTTACTATATTTATAATTGAATACCAATTTTTTTTTTCACCTGCACGGCAATATTAGTTGTGTATTTACTATTTATCTAGAAAACAAATTAATTTCACCGACTACGGTGTAGTAGTGTAGGCAGTGTTGTAAAGTATTTGAGTAAAAGTATTTGAATAAAAGTTTCAAATACTTTTTTACGTATTGAATACTTTTTAAAATACTTTTATTTTCGAAGTGTTTGAACGGTATATTTTAAATACATTTTTTTAGTATTGAATACTTTTTTTATTCCTTTAATTCTTTATTCATTGTCAAATAATAATAATAATGTCATAATAATATTATAAATATAATATTATTTTATCATTTATGAACAATTCGATATCGGTTTTAGTTTTCATCTACTAATAGCCTAACTAAATATGTTTTACTCCGAGAAACCGTCTGTTTATCGTCGACGACGATCGCAATTCGCAACGGTACGTTATCGATGCCTACTACCTAGCAGTGCGTCAGTAGAGAGTGTTTAGTGTTGGTGGTGCAACAATCACCAAAAAAAGAACTAATATGACTGATAAGCATTTCKAACAAATTATGTTCWTAAAATRCAACACACAAATGTTCGATTAATATTATATATTAATATATTATGAATGATTCAGAATTAAATTGATTTTTTTGTTTTGTATTTGAAAATTATGTCAAATACTTTACTATAGATATTATTTGGGTGGTATTAAAAAATACTTTATTTTATAAGTATTTGAGTAATTACTTAAATACTTTTTAAAAGTATTTTTTACAACACTGAGTGTAGGTAAGTACCAGTAAGTCAAATTCCAAGAAACTCGATTCATGCTCCATTGTAACCTAATTGCGGTTTTGTGGTCTTGTCACTAATTAAAACTTATGACAGGGTGACGTCGAGATGACAAAAAACTCATTTAACCCTTATTAGATTAATTTATTACTGTATAACGTTATTATACCTAAGTATTCGTTATTTTTTTTCTGTTAATTTGACAGGTTGATTGACCCTTGTATAATCACCTAAACCATATGGCTTAAATTACTATATAACTTAATTATTTACCTTTATATACATTAAATTCATCCTATGAAAATTTTTATATGTTTATAAAGAAATGTTTGTAATTTGTTAGATTAAAAAATATTTAGAATCTATCTGTKCTGGTTTAAGACATTTAGCGCTTAAGTGCAATAATTGCGCTTTCCTGATATTTCCACTCAAAGACCTTATAGTTAAATATTTCGGCCATTATTTATACCTAAAATCTAAATTTTTATGTACGTACAATATAATGAGTCATAAAAAAATAAATTAATGGTAGAATAATATTATGTACTAGTGTACTACTATAATATAAACGAATACACAATACACAATATAAAATGTAATTTAAAAAAAGGCTTGTTTTATATTTTTCAGAACCTAATAATATGTGCCTTTTAAAGGAGGAAAGCCCTCTCTGACTTCCTATAATCCAGTCCTGTCGGATACTAGTGAACTTTGAAATGTGTCTATAAACATAACGACAATTATTTTGGAAATATATTTTTAGATTAACAAAACTTATAAGTAAATTATAAACGTTTATCATACACAATTTTATCATATAGACTTTTATTTTTGGTTTATCTGTGACAAAATTAAAAAATATGTGAAGTATTTCCAAAAAAAAAAAATAGATATCTATTCAAAAAATATCAACCCTAATACACAACTTATCGATGTATAATATAATATGATTGAACACAGATAAAATCTGTTAAATAAGACTGCAATGTAAGACGTAAAACACAATTTAATTATTAATAGGTAACTGAAATAACAAATCAAATATCTAATTAATTTATTATTGTCAATAATATAATAGTACCATTATCAAAATAATTAAATAAAAGATAACAGTTCAAAATTATTTTTCTCCAATAAAATTAGATAAATTATTTAAAAACGAAACTAATATTTTATTTAACACTTAATGTATTCTACCTTTGAATTTATATTCGCAAAGTAATATATGTATTCTACTTCATTCAATAATTCAAATTGATTGATTCGAATGCTTTAAATGTTATTTTAGTGCTTTTATCATAGTATTTCAAATTTATAAAACAATTAATTGAACATTACAATTTTTATACAAACTATCTGAAATAATATTAGTACCATTAAACTAATATGTTTATTTCATTATTATTAAATAATAGCCATTAACTTATAACAGATAAATATGACAATTATGAGTAACATTCAAAAGTTATGCAATTTAAATGGACATAATTAATATTATACATGAGTCTCGATTACCTACACTCAACTATATGAATCAACAGACAAATTTTAAATAAATATTTAAAACACATTTTATATACTATAAACATAATTTTCTACTCGTGAATCACGATTTACATAGTTTTAATTTTTAAATTAAATCGATAAATAATATTGTGTCATTAAATTGAATTAATGTTGCTAAAATAATACAAATTAGTAGMAATTGTAAAATTAAATTCTTTAGCTAAGAACTGAAATCAAAATCATAAATTGTATTTCAATAATACATTAAACATTATAAAGGGATCGAAAATGATGATATTATGTTTTTGTTTTTGTTACATAATATGTTTTCGTTTCAACGTGGGATAGATTTAGAAAGCTAGAAAGCTCGATATAGACTTTCCTACATTTTTATCTTATCTCTTTAACTCCTGAAATGTTATTAAAAAATTAATTTTTTAGCTTGAAAATTTTCAAATTTTAATTTTTGAATGTAATAAAATGAAATCATTTATTTTTCCATACCAATGTGCTATTATACAAATAATACATACAAATTACAGGGTTAAAAGTCATGATCCTGCAAAAGATGATAATTTTTTTTAACAGAAAATTTAAAAAAATATGTAAAAAGATACAAACAACAAGTCAATAAATATTGTAAATTAATAATAGCGCACTATAAAATATGCTATTATAAATATAATTTATAATGATTACTATGAAAAAATATTACCTATACTAAAAAATATATTGAACTATTTAGAGTTATAGCATTTAATATACAACCGTATAATAGTTAACGTATTTTGTCATTAAATAAAAGCGTAATAAAATAAAACATATAGGTACAATTTTTTGTAGAAATATGCATTGGCTATAACTTATAACTTGTTTTAAAAATAATAAATAATGTTAAATATGATAATTAAATGATACTTACCAGAAATAATATAAAATACGAACGACGAATAGTTGAGAAGTTTTTTGAGTTTTGTATTAGCTGTTGCGATCAACACAAATTTTAATAATGATAGCTTTATTCAAATCGGTTTACCTGCAACTACATGTAAGTAACTTCTCCAATGGCATGCAAGTAATGTTTTTAAAAGATGAGATTTTTTCTGGATGACAATATTATAATTACCGTTAATACCCGTCCAATCGCGTTAGCTGTCGTTATGCAAATTGAATTTATGCGGTTTAACTGTGACTTTTAAAAACACATAGATTTGTGAGCTCTGTACACAAATGTGTTAAGTAGATACCCAAACGTAATACCTATTTAATTTTTATAATGAGCTTATTGTTTTCATTTTGTTGTTAAACGCAACACAATACAGTAGGTCTAAATAAAGTCCAAAGATTCAATTGTAAAATATTGTGGTACCTACCTATACTGATTGTATTTTTTTCTATAAAATTAATTGCCTGACTATCATTTTTGTGCTCTGACAAATATTCGTTGCATTATCTATCTTTAACGACTTACATTATAATTGCTTATACATTTTTCCAAGATAACATACGGCTTGTTTTATGTACCTAGTACCTACCCACCGTATTCCAATCGTATTCTTAACTATTAATATACATAACAAATAATGTAACTGTTAAACCATACATGCTATCTGTAAAATTTAATTTTGGATTATTTAGCCGTTATATTAGTTATTATGTGGATAATATCACATTCTCAATATACATAATACTAAAAGTCTAAAAACGGCTAATAACAACTATATTATTATGATATAGTTACCAAAGCGATTTTTCTGTTTACTATCAACAATAATTAGATTGAATATAGATACATAATAATCATAATATCGTAATGTACGTAATAAGTGCTATCTAATGATGAAAACAAATCAGACCCTGGATATTTATATAAGTAAAGACTTAATAAGATTAAAAAAAAAAAATAAGTTTAAACAGTAATGTACCGTAAAACAGGGTAACATTGGACATTTTTTTCGTTAGCATGTAATTTCCTCATAGGAATATTGTACTTATGAATAAATTGTTTATGAGATTAAACATGCGTATATTAGCTTACACATTGTAATTTTTTTGTTAATTTAAAAAAATTATGTAGTTAAGCATTGTTTTTTTTTTTAAAATATCACTGTCCCAAGTTACCCTTGAAAAAGTATAACTTGGGACAATCATATTAAATAGCTAAAAATGTCTTGTTTGACTTATGAAGGATAACTTGGGACTCATTTTTTTATGTATAAAGTACATTTCAGAATTTTATATCATTTGATTGAAAAAAATAGGTATTAAAAACTTTGTAAAGATAAAAGATACCTAATAAGTAAAATAAAAAGAAAAAAGAATTCAGCATTTTACACAATTTCATTTTATTTAGTACTTACCAAATTATTTTAGGCATATCAAAAAGAGTAATTTAACAAACTTAAAAACAGAACAATTGAGTCTTTTACAGGTATAATTTAAGAAAACAAAAGACAACCTTTACAGTCAATCCTTAAACTGTATATCTTAAATATCTCATTAAAAAAAAGTAACAAATATCTTTATATAATGATCAGTCTCACACTTTGACTGTAGGTCTTCATACTGGCTGACAGTGTTTTTTTTACAACTTTTCTTTGTAGGATTGACTTGGAAATGCCATACTTTTCAGCCACTTTCCTATAAGATAGTCCATTCTTACAGTCTTGTACTGCCTGAACTAACGTATCATTGCTAAAATTTTTATATGGTCTACTGCCCGATCGTTTCTTGATTTTTCCAACCATTATAAAACTAATGGAAAAAAATAAAACATTTGAATAATAAGGTAAACTATGTATTCAATTATTTTATTTTAGAGTTAACTTGGGTCAGTTGTGCAACTTGGGACAGATGTCCCATGTTACCCTAATATCAATAAAATTGTTTTACCTCGTACATACATTATCTTGTATTAGTTATATTAGAGTGATAACAATACTTTAAATTAATTGTCAACTAATATAGCTTTAAAATAATATATAAATCAACATGATTATCTAAATATTATATTCTCAAGACATAAAGCTATTTAACATATTATGTAAAGCCCTTAAAATGTATTAATTAATAAATTTAAATAAATTTTACAATAATGATCATAATATTGTGATCATTGTTGTGAACGAAAAATTTGCCATGTTCTCAGTGGGTCAGAAAGAGAAAAAAACGCACTGACATTAATAACAATAATATGCATTCATAATTTTAACGATAATTATTATAATATTTTAATCATCAAAAACTCCTTGTTTGCTCGCCGATATAGCTCCTGCAAATTCGGCGGTTGGCTATATCGACTTGCGGTGTTAGGGAGGATTCGGGTACTCCAATGAATACACAATATATAATAAATACACTTAACAACGTATGTGTGTGTACATTCAAACAAATATAATAATAATAATATAGGTATCAACGTCGTTGCGTGATTATATATAATACACAAAAAAAAACTCTACCTATAGCGGGCGCCCCAATATATAGATTTAAGAATACTGAATAATACAAAATAATAATAATACCATTTCAGACCAATATGGTCGAACATACAAAATATATAAATATATATAGTTACAATAATATAATAAATTAATAAATTAAGATTGAATACTAATCAATGTTACGACCTGACA